AAACCCGAGGCAGAGTTGCTCTGTCCCAGGCTTCCTGGAATCAGCTGCTGATCAGTTTCAGCAGCAGCTGACTTGGGGACGCCTGGGGTTCTTAAGTTGAATCTGTATGTAAGTCAGAACTGGTGTCCAGATTCAGCTGCTGTTGAAACTGATCAGTTTCAGCAGCGGCTGAATCTGAATGCCAGTTCTGACTTACATACAGATTCAACTTAAGAACAAACCTACAGTCCCTATCTTGTACGTAACCCAGGGACTGCCTGTAGTCGCTCCCTCCCCCTAACCACCCCACTTGCTGTCTTTATCAGATAGAGGCAGCAGTGTGAGGGGGGGGAAAGGGAGTACTTCAAAGCGGCAGCACTGCACAGAGCCTGGGATATGGGTTTAACTGCTGAAAGAATTTGGCCCACCATCTGTATGTAGTACATGTACCCTGTACCTTAGATAAGGAACTTCAGGTGGCATAGTTGTACAGGTTTATCTGTGGATAGATTTACAGGATTAATACATACTTTTTACATCATTTATCTCTTGCTCAAAGTTTTCTATCTACTAGTAAATTAATGGCAAACCAATTTGTAGAAGCCAGATAATACAGTATGACCTTTGCACATAGTATTTTAATGTTATTTTAGTAATTAAGGCTTTCTAGATTTCTTGCTTAACTTTAACTCTTATATCAGGCTCATGGTATAGAATTTTAAACAAATAATAATGCCAATTTCCATAACATAAAAATGTAAAGTGTAGTTAATTCTGTTTGGGTACTTCATAAATATGAAGCACGGAGGGCAGATTAGATTGGCTCAAGGGATTTTGGCAATAGAATAAGCCCTCATTTTTGAGTATTGGTCTCTATCCTTGATCAGAGTTTTTACTACTTGGAAACAGCTGTTCCATTCCTGGTTCTGACACAGATTCCCTGTGTGACTGAGGCAGTCCCTTAATTTCTGTCCGACTCAGTTTCCCATTGGAAAAGAGGGAAATATAATATTTTCTGCCTCACTGGGTTTTAAGAATAAATTCATTAATGTGTGTGAGGTGCTCCGACATTTTGTTGATGGGGTCTGTATAAGGCTCCAGATTTGCATGCTTTGTTGGTTTCTAGGGAATGTGTATGTGCGTCCTTAGCTTAGTAATTCACATCACCCATTGGTGCCATAGTCACTAGTCTTTTTGGCGACTCAAAGGACAGAATGGCTGCTGAGACTGAATTGGCTACTGTTCATCTCTGCCACTGTTGGCAAGGTTGAACATGTAGACAGAATGGGATTAGAAAGCTCACAGGGATATTATTGTGTTGGGAACAAACAGGCTCTTGCTAGGCTCTTGCTCTAGCATTTCCCATGTACTACATTTTCTAAACCAAAGTCCTAGGAAAGTGAATGTATTTTTTCTTGGAATCTAAGTCAGGAATATGTAAGTTAAGAACAGTGAGAAATTTGCAAGGTGCAAATCAATCTCACTGCCCACCTCTGCTTCAGCTTTTATATACTGCTGTTCACATTCTTTCTTTAAACAGATGAAAAGCACAGAGAGCCGACATGCCATGAGCTCCCCGTACAGAATGCACTCCTACTACTCTCCTGCTTCCTACCTGGGCCAGAGTGTTAGCACCCCTGCGTGCGTTCCACAGATCTTCACTTTCGAGGATAGCCCCTCGTACTCCGAATCTAAAGCAAGCGGTAGGTGCACGGCCATCCCAGACCTAATGAGAGGGGGGTCAGGTTTTATTTAATTCTGTTAGAGAGGAATTAACATCGAAAGGGTTATCGAAAGGGTTGAATTTAACAGTACTGAAGGTAAGTATTGTAAAAGCAGACCGCTTCTGAATGATGTGTGGTGGGGTGACGTATATGACACTGTGAATTTTTTTTGCTGGAAATTTGATAAATAAATTAGTGTGGGAGTTTCAGGGTCTTGTCTGCTTCTGCATCAGTTTTGGTAGATTGCAGGAAGAGCAATTAAAGGTTAAAATAATGCATAGTCCTTTTCCATTCCTATTCAGATGAAATCAAATACGTTTCTCCAGGGAAACCTTTACCCCATTCTGTTCTGAGCTGTCTTTTGAAGGACCACCCCTTTATTTTTTTAAAGGCTCTGTTTACTACATAGTCCCTTCAGGTCAGTCCTTTCATAGGCCCCCATGGCTTCGCAATCCTGCTGTCTACACACGTGTTTCAAAAGACACAGCAGGCCCATCTATCCAAAATGTGTGGTAAAGAAGGACTGGATCTCCTCTGTGAAACAGTACACCCCCCTGCACTCTTAACTTTCAAACTCATCACACTACGTTGCTTGGTTGAGAAGAACTCCAGAGAAACATGGATTTTTCTCATCTGGTGTTATTCCCCTAACAGTAAAAAGATTATTTTAGAAATTTCTGTTCCATTGTTTGTAAGGGCTTCTGGGCTCTGTGTAGTGCAGTGTTTCTTAAACTGTATTCCGCGGCAGTTGGAGGTGTGCCGCGGAGAACAACAGAATTCAAAATGACCACTTCAATAACTTTCCCCCGACCCTTTTCCCCTCGACAAAAAATCCTTGGTGTTACTCATTAAAAAAAATATTGTTTGGTGTTCTTGGTCTTAAAATGTTTAAGAAACACTGGTGTAGTGGGTTAGCAGTTCTGACCTACAGTGATAGGATTATGAAGCACAGATATAGCCTTCAGGCAATCAAAGTGCTAGTCAGGGATTCATGTCCCACTGTGCCTAATCTGTGTGAATTGAACCAAGGGGAAGAGGTGGATGAAATGGATTCAGTGATGTGGAAGTGTTTGGGAGAAGAAAAGTTGGATGGAAAGGCTACTTACTTTTCCTTGATGTGGAACCACCTCCCTTTTGTGTACAGATGAAACCAATACTACTTCCCTCCTCCAGGAGATAAGGGGAGAGAACAGAGTTTCCTTTCCCCCTAGCATCCAGGAGGGGAGGGTGGGGGAATAAGTAGGAGAGCAAAAAGCTTTGCCAATATCTTGTAGTAGCCAGTGGGGGAGTTCCTTCATGATACCATTTAAAGGAGTGGCATGGCTTGGCAAAAGGGACATGGCTTAGTGGCGGGGGTTAGAGAACAGGATTAGTTCAGTTTTTACTCATCATAAAGTTGGGTGGCAGCCAGAGTAGGTAGTATAATCAGTACAGTATGCATACAGCAAGGATTCAACACAATCCCTGCAGACCTGTGCAGAGCAGAGGGTGGGTGAAGGTTGTAAGAGAAGACGCAGTGGTTTCATGCTTAAGGATCTCAGAGGGGCAGTGGCTATGTTTCTGATCCATTGTTCCATCCCACAGGATGGATATACTCCAGCTTTCTTGCCAAAAACCATGAGAACTGTGAAAGTCATCATTCTCTGAGCACAGTCTACTTGAATACGGTATATGCCTCTCTTGTGCTTTGGCCACTACAAGCCCATGTACATAGAATCATAGAACGCTAGAACTGGAAGGGACCTCGAGAGGTCATCAAGTCCAGTCCCCTGCCCTCATAGCAGGACCAAGCACCATCTAGAATAGATCATCCTTGACAGGTGTCTGTTTAACCTGCTCTTAAATATCTCCAGAGATGGAGATTCCATAACCTCCCTAGGCAGTTTATTCCAGTGTTTAACCACCCTGACAGGCAGGAAGTTTTTCCTGATGTTCAACCTAAACCTCCCTTGCTGCAGTTTAAGCCCGTTGCTTCTTGTCCTATCCTCAGAAGCCAAGGAGAACAATTTTTCTCCCTCCTTCTTATAACACTCTTTTAGATACTTGAAAACCACTATCATGTTCCCTCTGACAGAACGTTATCATTTTACAAACTGTACACGGAAATGTAGTCATCTCTGCAGATACAGGTGTTACGCATATTTTTATAAATGGATAAAAGAATGGGGGTTACTTACTTTTTATTTGGCCACGTCCATTTCGTGTGCCGTCCTCAAGAATGTGTGCTCGGTTTTTCTCGTTAAATTTTGATTGTATACATTTGCATTTGGGTGCATCGTGGTTGAAACTTTGATTTTTAAGGCCAGAATGAAGTTTTCAAAAATGAGGGTACATACAGGGACAGATTCATAACTGGTGTAAATCAGCAGAGAGCTATTACAGTCAATGAAGCAAGATAGATTTGTACCAGCTGAGGGTCTGGCCTGGTATTTTTGAAATGGCTGTTTTCAGACAGACTTCCAGCTATGATGCAGGAAATAAGTTTCACCATATTTTGCCTTTTCATCTAAGAGGTTTTTTTCCCAGCTTCTCTGGTAGTTTGTTTCATTTTCCCTGTCTTCGCTTCAGTTTAATTCTCCTTCCTTTGCTCTGACAACTGTGTACAGTAACACCTTTTTCTGTATTAGTGGTCAGCTGAGCTTCTGGCTTCACACTCAACTGTGGGTAGCACTTTTTCTTGCATCCATCATGGCTAACTCACTAACTCATGATCCTCGCTAGTCAAGCATTCTTAAAAATAGAAAAAAAACCTTTGCCTTTTATTAACACATTCATTTCAGTATTTTTTCATTGCTCCAGAAAAAAAAGCTTGTGTATAATATGCCCACTGATTTTTAAATTGCATAAACAATGTGTTTTCAGTAATCATTGACTGCTTGTCAAGGCAACAGTCTACACACTGATATTGTTCCCTAAGTTACTTCATCAATCAGAAAATGACATGTGGTGAGATGTAATATAGGGAGATCAAACAGCATTTTCCTAGCCCTGAAATAGTGTTTTTCCATAGCAGGGGAACTTGCCAGGTACCAGTATTTTTATGAGACGTTTAAATATGTGAGTAAACACACACATGATTTTGCTATAGGCTGTAACATAAGATCTAGGAGTCACCAAATTAAGTTAATAGGCAGAAGGTTTGAAAGAAACAAAAAGAAATATTTCTTCATGCAACACACAGTCAACCTGTGGAACTCCTTGCCAAAGGATGTTGTGAAGATCAGGACTTAAAAAAAAGAACTAGATACATTCATGGAAGATAGGTCCATCAATGCTTATTAGGCAGGATGAGTAGGAATGGTGTCCCTAACCTCTGTCAGAAACTGGGAAAGGGTTACAGGGGAGGGATCACTTGATAATTGCCTGCTCAGTTCATTCCTTCTGGGGCATGTGGCATTGGCCACTGTTGGAATACAGCATACTGGGGTGTTTGGACCTTTGGTCTGAACCAGTGTGGCCGTTCTTATGTTCTTTTTAAGAGTTTCTTCTTTTTTTCAGTTATGACCAATCACTGGGAGTTCTCCATTCAAAGATGAGTATCTCCACTGTTAGACCAGGGGCTACAGTCCCACGGAATTTTCCCTCCATTCTTTATTCCTATGAGTATTTTCTCTCCTGTACAACTTTCACTCACAGTGGATGTTGACTCAGTTGGAATGGTGTGAACAATGGAATCCTTTGCGGTACTTGTCACTTGCTGACCTTGCGAGGGTACTGGTAGCAGTGTCCATTCCTGTTTGTACGTTTAAAGGAATAGGGGGCTCTCATATTTGCTGGCTTGGACTCTGGGCATTTTCTATATAATAGAGCAACTGACACATCTCCCCATGGTTAACGATATCCCATTTTTAAAGATAACACAAATGCAGCTTTATAGATCAACAACCCCATGGGAACTGCCTTAGAAACTTAGATGATTCCATTATATGGACCTTAGTATATTGGTGGACCTGTTTTAAGTCTTGTACAATAATCCTTATCCCTGCTCTGTAACACTGTCCATAGAACCTCACACAATAAATTCTGCATTGAGACTATCACTTCTGTTTGAAGACTGTACAAGTTTGTTGGAAGATCTGGGTATGCGGGGGGAGGCAGGGGGAAGGTGACAGACATGCTGGGCCACTGGGCAAGGTGTGTGAGGAGCTTGGTTCTGTGCTCCCGGAATGGCCGGGGCTTTAGGTAGAAAGGGCAGGGCTGTGGTAGCCGTGACAACGAGCCCCAGGCCCTTTAGAATGGCTGGGCTCTGGGGCAGCTGTCCTCTTTGCCCCCTGTTGTCATTGGGCCTGTATGTATCAGTAGTCCATAAACATCACAGACATGTAACTGTGCAGGGAAGAAGTTCAACAGGGCGAAACAGAAAAAGGAATACAAATAGAGCAAAATTTTCAGAAGTGGCAGCCCTGTTATCCTGCTGCCCTGGTTCTTCAATAGCAAAATATTTCTGATCAAAGCACTAAATCCAGAGGTGGTTTTATGATGTCTGTTACCCGCCCCAGAGTCTTCAGTTGTAACTTGACTTTATACAGACTTTGCCAGTTCAGATTTTAGCACCGTTAGTTTTTCACTCAAACCATTTCATTAATGTTGTTCCACTAAGTTAACTGCCCATTTAGCCTGGATCTGTTGAAAGGGAGGAGAGATAAGCTGAGCTCTAATTTACATTCATTTTTGTTTTATGAATGGTGAGAAGTTTGCAGGAGGCTTCTGACATTCCCACATGAGGGCACGGCATGTTACAGTATGTTGCATTTAAGAATGGGATGACATTTTCTAAAAAACAAAACACCATCTCCCCAGCTCCTTGTAGTTTGAAGCAGTGCTAAAAACAACTGCTTCCACCTGGCAGGATAGGTGCTCTTCCAGCTACAGGTTGAACCTCTCTAGCCTGGTACCCTTGGGACCTGACAGGTGCTGAACCAGAGAATTTGCTGGACCATGGTACGTCAGTATTGGCTATCAGCATTACCCACACTTCC